ATTTATTCAGGCCATAAATATGGCCAATTGTCTGAACGCAGTTTCTGGGACCTCTCCAAGGCGATCCTCATCCACATGGTGGCACTTTGTGTCATCGAGTGTTTATCGCTTGTGTGATGTCCTGGTGGGGTAGAAAGTCAGTCAGTCAGTAGGGAGGTACAGAATATTAACTGGGTATCACAAAAAGGTCCACTCACCCGCAGTTGGGAACGGAACAATTCTGAGGGTGGCTAAATATTACTACTAGTAATAAACTTTGTTAAAGTACTTTTATCATTGTGAAACCCGCATTAGATTAGCGTTCTGACATTTAAAGTAGCATGGAAATATCGATGCCGAAGATTAGCTGAGGGAAGAGGGGCGTAAAATAACTTACTGTACAGAGGCGTTAGTCGTTATCCACCTTTGCATAGATAATAAACAAGTCGCAAAAATTCTTCCTTTTGCCACCTGGTGCCGCTGACACAGGATAGGTAACGGAGCAACAACAACAACAATGAGATTATCAAAAACGTTTGCAGGGACAGTTTAAAACTGTTTCTTCTTTCTAGCATACACTGGCTGAAGACTTCATTATCATCATCATTCTCATCATCAGGTGCCTTGCTGACTGGCGTAGGCGATCATGCCTCTCCATAATCTGCCATCTCCTGCAGCATGTATCAGTTCGTATGCTGGCACACCTCCATGCACTGCAACAAGACTGTAACGAATCTTATCTCGTTGTCTTCCTCTATCCCTCCTTTCACATATCTTTCCAGTGGTCACAACATGTTCTATTTTCCCCTCTTCCTATATAATGGCCAAAAAATGATGACTGTCTCCTTCTGATGTCTGTGATAAGTTGTCTTCGGCCTCTTTCAAAACCCCTTGGTTGCTCTTTTTTGGCTGTCTAAGGTATTTGAAGCGTTTTTCTGTAAAACCACATCTCTGAGGCCTGAAGATTTTGTTTGGCTTACCTACCCATTGTCCAGGACTCACAGCCATATGTTAAAACTTGATGTATGTAGCAAGCAGAAATTCTTTTTCTAACCTTAATGACAGATAAATATTGCACAAGATGTTCTTCGTTTTATGAAATGCAGTTTTTGCCTCTCGTATTCAGTTTCTTGTCTCAGTAATGCATCTTCCAAGTGATGTTATCCATATGCCCAGCTACTTAAATTTCTGTACTTGTCCCAAAAGAACACTATTGACTTTTATTATACATTTATGAATAATTCTTTTCTTTGATACCACCATTACTTCTGTCTTTCCGTTATTAAAACTGAGGCCCATTCTTCCACTTTCTACTACCACAATGTCTATCATTTCGTGTAGTTCTTTCTGACTTGTTGCTGTCAAGACTGTGTCATCAGCATAACGTAACTGTTTATATTATGGCCACCAACTACAATTCCGGGCATATCAATTAAGGATCTAATTATATACCCTCGGCATAACTTGGACAAAATATCTAAAGGATCCTAACTACCTAGGACCTCCGAAGTGATTCTTTGCACTCTGCATAGAGCATGTCTGTCTTGTGGCTAAACACAAGAAACAGCTTGTTGTGTAGTTAGTGCATGTCGAGAAAGGCCCTGGCCGAAACGTCGAATTTGTGTGTTTGTGAACGTTGTTTGACTTTTCTATTTCGTTAAGCTTTTTAGTCACTGGAATATTGTCTTGGTATATTATCTTGACTGCAGTGACCCCAATCTTCACCACTCTATGATGAATTGCAGATGAATACAAGATGTCTGGGCTGACCTCTACTCTTGATAATCATCATCAGTAAGCTGGTCCTTTACTTGGTCGTTCTCTTTGCGACACGCCTGAAAGCCTATCTTTCTCTAGCCGATTCTGCAGCCCTATGTGCTTTCATAGCCAATGTATCTTTACTGTCTTGTGGCCCCATTCGCCGAGATCGGCCTCTGCATCGTCTTCCGGAAACTGTACCTTCCATCGCCGTTTCCTCTCTCTCTCTCGTTCTCCACCTCTATCTATAGGCCACAATGACGTTTAACATGTCCATTGCAGCACTTGTGATACTCCCATAAGCGCTTCGTCCCCATCTTCAGAAGCCTGTGCTAACGAAGATCCAACAGAATGTGCACTAGTGTACCTTGTGGACAAAAAAAAAATTGATATCTATGGTGATGACTTGTGAATGTCTTATGTGTCAAGAGTGACATGAAGAATATATAAACAGACATGAATAGAGCATGCCTCTTACACACTATGCCAACAATGGTAATGAAATACCGTGCATACATTTGGAAGGTTCTTTTAAACGTGAGCTGGTCTTCTTAGTCTAACTTGCGTATGCACTGGACCCCGAAATTAGGGATACATGACAGTGAAGATGCAATGGCTATAAAAGCACATAAGGTTGGTTGCGTATCCTTTACAGGACGTTACAGAACCAACCCCAACAGCGCCTGGCTGTTGTGTGGGTTTTCTAGGCAAATTTACGTCTAGTAGTTTGTCATTGCTATCTGGACTGTCGGCTTTTTTGTTACCACTGTCGAAACCAATGCAAGGCGCATGGCCCGCAGCTGGGATCGAACCCGGCACCCCGGGAAAGCACATAGGGCTAGAAAAAAAGAGACTTTCATGCGTGTCGTGAAGAGAACGATCATTTAAAGTACCTGTTCATTGATGATGATGATGATGATGATGAGCTGAGGTCAGCCCGGACATCTTCTGTTCATCAATAGAGTGGTAGAAATAAGTGTGACTGCAGTCAAACTAATACCAAGAAAATAATCTACCGAACTGTCACTGAAACGCTTAATGAAATAGGGAAGCAGAACAACGTGCACAAAACACTCAAATAATTTAGGTATGGGCAAAACAGCTGTGTGTCAGTGTGTTTGTTCGTGTTGAACGGACTCCAGTACGTGTCTTGCAAGTCTGTCCTCTTCTGGGGGAGCTGCGAAGCGACATGTGGCCGCAAAAGACCTGACAAATAATCTTTGGGGGAACCTAAGAGACCTTGAGATGACATCTCAGTTGATGTGGATTAGTTGCAGGACCAGAGATAGATAAAGAAAAAAAAAATAGTAACACTCACCTTGGGTTGTGATTCTCATAATCGGAAACTGTTCGTATATTATCTGTGCACAGATTATGTGCCCCCATAGAATACACTGGGTTACACCCTGGTATCAGTGAGACGACAAAAGAAATAAGAAGATCATCATCATCATGTTCCCTGCCAACCGGCGTAGGCGCTCATGCGTCTCCACAGTACACGAACTTCCGAAATCCTCATAACGTCCTACCTCTCTAAATGCAATGACAATGTCTGCGTGATACATGTGCCGGCCATCTTCAATTATTGCAGTGCCTGCCAGTCTATCAGCTCTCTCATTACTAACAACGCCTGCATGACGTGGGACGAATATGAAAGTAACTGCACACACAGGAGAATGTGGCAATGACTCAAGCCACTGTCTACGTCCCTAGCCTGCCTCGACCCGTCGGATCATACTCAAAGAATCACTCAGCACACACACGCGGGAATAGTCTTGTGATCCCAGCCACATGAAAGCCTGTGTCACCGCCGTCACCTCCATCCCATGCACCGCTGGCCCCTTAACTGTTCTGCCTGAAGAGCGAGCTGTAAATGCCCATGTGAGCGTGTTTGCACCCATGCAGCTTAGAAACGAGAAGGGGGGGGGGGGGGGAGGTAGTGTCTCTGTTACATATAAAAACACACAATATCGACTAAAACAAGTCTTCAACTGCTAACTTAGAAGGGAAAGTCAAACTCCAAAATTTCACAAATGTTCATTTACTAATCATTCATCATTTTCAATTAATCAGTTTTAATGTTTTTGAGACTTTCAGCACAAATAATTTCACAGATATTTCCACAGATCAAGTTTCAGTTTATACAAATTCTGATATTTAAAATACCATTTGAGTTGTGTCACCCTAAGTTCATAAAAATATGTGCTGCAAAAGAAAGCGTTGACAATGGAAATAAAGCTTGAATCTTAATCTTAGTTTCAGCTTCATAGCAAACGGGTCAACCCATAGTTGCTCTGCTCCTGTACCAAAGAAAAACACATAGAATGTTCGTCACAGTCCCTTGTGGAAAGATTGACAGCTTGAATACGAACCATTAGGGGGAAAAGTTAATTAAACAAAAAGTTGACGACAGATTCCTGTAAGGTAGACTAAAGACACCCACGAAGGAACCAAAATAACAATTGTCACAGATTTTAGCTGTAAAACGCAGAATTTTCTGTAGACAAAAATAAATATATCAAAGAGAGTACAATTTACAGATTCTTTACAAGAATATTAAAGGGTTAATATGAGTAAATAGTTAAACAATTTGCCTCACACTTTGAATGTAGCCGTTTCCTTTCACGATTGTGTCATTCAGTTCACCAGCCTAATTTTCACTGAGATTGTCATTGGAGCTATGGAGTTCGTACTTTTGCAAAGCTCACAGCAGATGGCTAGCCGTTCTGCTTAGAGACCGAGATAAAACTTGGTGCAAAGGGCTTGATTATCTCCAATTCAAATCTTTTGACAAAAGCAAACATTCAATTTCAGGTAGTCATAGTGATATTTTGCCAAAATATTACATATGCAAAATTTGGAATGAAAATTTGATACCAGAATAAAGTTATGAAGAATGTGGAATCAACAATACCTGTGGACATGAATGAACAAGAAAACTGCAAATCAGACATGTTCGTTTCATGAAAAATAAAAGGAAATACTATTTCAAAAACTTCTGTTATTATCTGGCAACTGAAGTCTTAAAAGACATTGACTATCCAGATTTTGTCGATGTTTCATGTAAAATGTAAATGCTAAATGTACAATCTTGTCTTTTTAATCATCGTTATATTGAAATACAATAGCCTGAATATCTATGGAAGCTATTCTAGGTACACAAAAACAGCTTTAACATCTCATTGTTTATCGAGTCTAATGTTGGCAGTTCAACTGTGTATGCTGGTTTCGTTTCCACTAAACAAACGGTTTCGTCCATTGTT